TCCGGGGCAGACAGGGCATAAAATGTCAGCTTCTCCATGTTGGTCTTCACCAGCCCATCCTGAAAGAGAGCAGCGCAGGGGGTCACAGCCTCACACCCAGACCCAGCAAACATCAGGAGCATCCCTGCAGCAAACCCTGGCAGCGATGCCAGAGGTCTGGAGCATGCCAGTCCCGTCTCAGCACTTCCCCACACCTTGTACACCAGGGAAGGCAAATGAGGATTGCATTTAGCCTCAGTTGAGGGCTCTCTGATGCACCACAGCCAGAGGTGACCCCAGTGCAAGTCTCCATCGAGCACCCCACACTGTAAATACAACGAGAACCGTTTGCCAGCCCCTAGCAATGCCCCAGCACCAAGGGGCAGACAGGGACATCAACACCTCCAGGCTGCTGAGGCCAAACAACACAAGTGTGCCGAGCTGCCAGCCCCAAACCCCCACAGCATGCAAAACTGCGGTGCTTCCTCCTCTCCGCATGGCTCGGCAGCAGCCTCCTCTCTTGTTCAGCTTTGCTGCCACTGCCATGACAAAACAGGCGCTCACCACCTCCCCGGGGAATCCCAGCCCCGCTACCCCCAGCCGGGAGCTCCTCTTCCACTGCCTTCGCCTCTTGGCTATGAAAAGGAGACAAAGAGGGCAGATTTGGGATGCTCCAGGCGCAGCTGGCAGGGCATCCCCCATCTCCAATTCGGCAAGGCACCAAGCAGGGCACCAGCTTCCCCGCATCCTGGAAGCATAAGCAGCTTTTGAGCTCGAAAGCCTGGCTGAGGCCCCAAGAGACCCACACTCTTAGAAGCTGCTTTCCTTATCCTGCAAAGAGAAGGCCGTACGCCTTCAGGTCCGTCCCCCATCCTCCCATCCACCCGTCCTTGGATGGTGCATCTGCCCGGCACCTTTGGGAAAGGAAGCCTGTCCCTCCGGGCCGATGTGGCTGGAGGAGCTGCTTCCGTATTTCTGCTCACAGATAGGATTTAAAGGAAAATCCAACCCTCCAGGCACGGTCTTATGGAGTCAAAGCATAGCCTGCCTCCCAGGAGCTGTTTCTGGGTGGGTCACACCGCGTCCCTGCAACCCGAGCACCGGAGCTTGGGCGCGTGAAGCAGCGCCTCGTTTACCTCTGGGTCCTCAGGGAAGATGTTGTCGACAAGCCTTTTGTAGCGGGGACGCAGGGCGCCACAGCAGCCGCACACACCTGGAAAAGAGGAGACAGAGCCTGTCAGCAGGGACAAAATCCTCAGCTCCAGGGCAAACCCCCGTGCGGCGGTGCCTTTGGTGGAAAACATATCCTCGGATTCAGTAGGGAAGCCCGGGAAGAGGACAGGGCACCAAGCTGACGACATCCCAGAGTTTTGCAGCCAGAAAAAAAAAAGGGAAGAAAACTGCAGCTGAGAGGCAGGGAATTGGCTGGTGACCAGCATCATTTGACGTAGGACTGCAGGGTTATCTGCTTTTCTCACCCAAGAAAGCAGCCCCCAGAGACCAAGATGTCCGAAGTTCCCCTAAATCTGCGCGCCTCTATTTCGCAAGATCCTCTTTCGCAGGTCCTCAGACCAAGAGCTCTTTCCTCCAACCACTCACCCGAGGACGCACTACTCACGCCCTGCCCCACGCTCCCCACGGAGCCAGCAGCGATAAAGAGAGCACAGGCTGCTGGAGACAGCGAGACAGAAAAAGAAGAGAGAGCACCTTATGAAGGCTATGAAAGGAAAATGCCTTTTCCTGTTTGCAGCTCCAAAGCTGAGCTGTTGAGAACCACCAAACACCTTCGATTGCCCCCCTACCTTTGGGCTGCCGGACCGCGGTCCCTCTCCCCCGAGGGGGGCACCAAGGGGCACCAAGTGACCTGTGTTTCGGCAGGACGGCGACACAACCATGCCCAGCCCCTCTTTTTGAGGGGTCTCAGACATGGCAGCAGCTTGTCCCTGATGCACAAGCCGTGCCCCACGCAGCCTCTCCGAGGGCCAAAACTGCTCGCAGCAGCAACTCCGCGGGCCAGCGAACAGCGGGCATCAGCCTCCTCCCAACTCAGAGCAAAGCAATTAGCCCCAGCCGCCAAATATCCCAAACACGGCTGCGATCCCCTGCTCCGCTTTCGGGGAGCTGCCGAGGGAGGAAGGGACCGTTTGCAACCTGGATATTTCTCCCTGTGCCATATCTTGTTTCTCAGGGCCGCAGCGCACCCTCCGCAGCAGCCAGGGATCCCCCCGTCTTCGGCTCGGGGACGGCCGGCGGTCCAGGCGGGCTCTCGAGCATCCATCGGCCTTCCACACGCACCAGAGAGTTCAGCATCCGTGGGCACCGCCACCTCGATACATCCCCCTGCGTAAAGCTGTACCAGCACTGCCCTGCCTCCCGGCCGCAGATGAATATCTGCAGAGTTTGTTTATTTAAAAAAGGGAGGGGGGAAGAAAAAAAAGAGAAGGGAAAAAAAAAAAAAAAGAGATTGCTGAACACGCTACCCTCCCCAGCGCCGCTCCGAGGGCTTTGCACACCAGGATCCCCCTGCTCCAGCACAATGCATTTTTTCCCCGGGACCTGGCGTTACTCGGATGCTGCACCCCGCAGAGGAGACTGGTGTCAGCCACCCCAAAGCACCGGCCTTTGCAAGCCCGGGGAAGCGTGAGTAATTCGGGGCTGCTTTTTGGCAACTGCCGCCAAGAAGCAGAAGCTGGGGGGGGGACAAAGGCTGCGCCGGCGGG